CAAAATGAAATACATGCAAAATAACACACACACATGCACAACTGCCCTTGTGGCGGCCGTCGGTGGCACAAGGTGGCAGCCACCATGGTTGGCGGCCATGGTGGTTTCTCATGAACTCCGGCCAACAGAAAACATGCACACGCATCCCGACTAACAACAAAATCACACAATCCTTCGTGCATCCACTGAAACACTCACCGAACACAGCCACCCTTGAGACAGCAGGTGACGGTCGGAGCACCTTGACAGAACTAAAAAGCAACAAGGTGGCGACGGCGACAACGATCCACGACGACAGCAGCGGCGGACGGCGAAATCCCTTGGCGGTCATTACGTGATACCCGACGTGAACGATGGCCAACAGAACGAACATAAGAGGAAGAAAGAGGCGCGTCCGAGCATCGTGGCACATAGTCACGATGTCGATCATCGACGTTCTCGGCTTCACCGGCGGCAGGAGCTACGACGATGGAATCTTGGTGGTTCTCCGGCTTCAACGGGCAAGGGAGGCGGCAGCGACCGATGGTGGGGGACATAAGGTTGGCGGCTGATGCATCCTACTAGGGTTAGGGTTTACTATGATATATATATATATATATATATATATATATATATATATATATATATATATATATATATATATATATATATATATATATATATATGGAGGCTAATGAGGGTGACGGGTTCAACCCGTGTCCATCTTCAAACATATGCATCTATTACACGTTTGGTCCCTCCCCATAAGAAATCTTTTCAACTTAAGTCCCAATAATTACCATGCAGCCCCTCTTTTCAAGATCTTTTTCAATTTAAATCCAGAATTTACCCTTTAGCCTGTGCCTCCAAGAATCCTTTTAATAATAAGTCCATAATTTACTAAACACACCCTGACTTCCGAAATCCTTTTCAAATTACATCAATAATTTATTAAACAACCCTCAACCTTCAAAATTCTTTATGAACTAATCCGGAAATTACGTTTTAACCCCCGAAAGTCCAAATTATATCATCTGGCTCCTCGAAACCAACACCCCACTAATTATTATGGATTTAGAGCTACAATAAAATATATTATACATCTCGGGATTTTAGAATTTATTATTTATTTACTCATTTTATCTAATTTCAAACGGAGTGTTACAGTCACACCAAACAGGTCCTAGCTAGAGGAAGCTGTGAGAATGGTCTCTATGTCCTCCACCCAAGCCATCAAGCATTTGTGTCTCATTCAAGCCCCAAAGCATATTTTAAAGTATGGCATTTCCGTTTGGGACATGCTAATTTTGATATTATTACCTCTTTACAAAAACTTGGTTATCTTGTCGTGAATGCACTTTTACCTAAACCGGGCTTATGTTCCCCGTGTCAACTTGCTAAAAGTCAACGTTTACCATTTGGCATAAATAAAACTCATGCCTTAAATTTATTGGATCTTGTTCATTGTGATCTATGGGGACCCTCCCATGTTGCTTCAAACAACAACTATAGATATTATGTCATTTTTGTTGATGACCATTCTCACTTTTCTTGGTTGTACCCACTAAAGGCAAAATATGAATTTTCACGTCTATTAGTGGGTTTCATCCAAATGGTACAAACCCAATTTTCCAGGAAAGTCAAGCATTTTCAAAGTGATGGGGGCACTGAATTTTTTAATAACCGAGTGAAGTCGATTTTTGAAAAAAATTGCAACCTACATCGGTCCTCGTGCCCATATAATTTCGCAACAAAATGGACGAGCCAAAAGAAAACACCGTCACATAGTTGAAACGGGTTTGGCAATGATGTTTAATGCCCACCCGACCTCCACTTATTGGATTGATGCCTTTTTATCGGCCATCTTCATAATTAATAGACTACTCTCTAAAGTTCTTGATGGGAAATCTCCGTTTGAGATATTGCATTCCACACCGCCAAAGTACTCAACATTTAGGGAATTTGGGTGTCAGGTCTTTCCTTACCTACGTGACTATTAGGAAAATAAACTTGCGCCACATAGCATATAATATGTTTTCATTGAATATAGTCCTATGTACAAAGGCTACCGGTGCCTTGATCCTATCACATCGTGGATATATGTTTCCCGACATGCAAGATTTGATGAAAATGTCTTCCTATTTATGGATAATACACAACCTAGCTCTCTCACCAATCTTGAAATTAGCACATTCCTTGACCACTCACATACATTCATGTCCAAACCTAGCACCCCTATCACTCACATACCATCTCCAAATACCGAAAATTCCTCTCCATGCAAACTGTGCTCAGAAAACACCATTCCAAACCCCCATCCAAGCCCGTCCCAAAGCCCAACATCGATCCACTCCTCTAGCCCAACAACCGATTCCTCCTCTTGCTCCGCGTCCCCTTTCTCTCAACACTCTTCCTGCAGTCCGACCTACCATCCTATGTGACAATTAGAGTGCTCTCTTCTTAACTCAAAATCCCATTGCACACAAGAGAATGAAGCACATTGAATTAGATTATCACTTTGTCTGTGAACTCGTTGCTTCGGGAAAACTTCACACCAAGTTCATACCATCCAAACTTCAAGTTGCAGATATTTTCACTAAAATTCTTCCTCGACGTCAGTGTGAGTTCTTCAAAGCCAAGCTTCGGGACGGCCCTCCGCCGCTCAACTTGAGGGGGGATAACGACTCATCACCTTCTAATATTTAATATGTGTAGGGGCTATTGTTGTATTTCTCTTATTTCTTCATTCCTTTATTGTATCTTTCGTACCTATTTATAGATACCTTCTGATGTTATACAAACTCATTTGATTCATCTTACTGTCAGTAAATCATACGAATAGTCCCTATGGTTTGGAGTAATTTGTGTGTTATCCTTAACAAAGTTTTTTTAACTCGAATTTGTTACGCATTTAGTCCCTGACATAAAAAGTTTTTTTAACCTTATTCATTTCCTTTTGATTTCTTACATTTTATTTTATTTATATTCTTAGAATATAAGAAGGGACCACTACCCATCTCTATCGCACATCACCTTGACCCTTCTCCTGTCGGTGTCCCTTTCCCTAGTCGAATTGACTCTTAATTCCTGATTTCCTCCAAAATTAATTCCAGCACCTAAACAACTATTAAATTCGTCTAAGAAAATGTTTTCATCAAATTTCAAAATCAAATTCAGTATCTTATAATTCAAAACTTGAGAGAACAAAGAAAGAAAGATATGACGAACAAATCTCAACACCTTAAATAAGTTTCCCTAGGAGCAAGATTCAAACGAACAAACAAAGATATGAAGAATGTTTATATATGCAAGAATCAAACAAACAAACAAAGATATAAAAGATGAAGAAGCACATATCACATATTAAGAACTACTGATCAAACGTTAAGAATCGAGGAGATTAAGGATCGCATACCTCCCCCCCCCAATTTCCCCTCGCCATCGCAAATCTGTCCCCTCAAACAGGGTGTATGTGACTTGTCTTATTTCTCGAGGGAAATGTCGAGCAAGGGATTTAACAGAAGCACTCTATGGTGGTTGGTTACTTTATAAATTCTTACGTGGAGTTCCATGAATACATCTGAAAAAAAATCCATGGAAACAAGAAGATAGTAATTGAGGCTTGCAGAAACCACAATTCAAGATGAAATCGACCAAGGGGAGATGTAATCAGCCGCGGAAAAAGGTGGGTGGCGGCGGCGTAAGAGACAAACATTAGGTAAAAGGCAAGAAAGGGGGAGGGTTACGAGCTGTTCTTCGATGTTGGGGGTATATAACAAGAATGGGAAAGATAAGGGGATGGTGGGCTAAAATCGGCAGTCGATGATGGCTATGTTTCCAGCAGGTGGGAGGAGATGCAGTTAGGTGCTGTTTGTTTTTTTGAAGCAAAATTTCATGAAATCTGCGGACCACCTCTGCAACCCTCTACAGTAGAATAGGTGGACCCAACGGCTGCAGACTGTAATAAGAAGCGTGTTTGTTTTTTTAACATCTGCATGCTGCTGCAGATATTAAAAAATCAAAATAAACTGATTTTATAAACCGAAAATAGTTTTTTAATACCCGAAAATTTAATAATGTATGACATTTCAGCAAAAAATAATGATATTTTAACAAAAAATAAAGATATTTTAGCAAAAAATAATGATATTTCATCAAGAAATTATTATTATTTAATATAAAAAAACAAAAAAAAATTCAACAAGAATAAACAGAAAAAAACGAAAAAAAAAGATAAAATAAGATTTCCGCAAAATATAATCAAGATTCATTATGATTTCAACAAGAAAAAAAGAAGAAAAAGTTGGAAGATGTTGGAATAGGCAATACAAGTGTTGTGTCAAACAGAACACGCGCATAAGTTTTTTACTCCGAAAACTTCTGAAAAACAAACAGTTACGAGATGAAAAGTGATGCGTGTGTGCTGCGCCGCGCAACAATAAGAGGTCTGATGATGTTTTTACAAAAAACAAATAGCACCTTAGTAGACGTGATGCAGGTGGAAGAAGAAACGGAGCGAAGAATAAGGGGGAAGATTATATGGCGACGTTTCTTTGGATTCAACAATTTTAGGGCATTTTTTAATATATATATATATATATATTTTAAAATATTAATAATATAAAACGAGTAAACGAAAAAGTAGAAAATATTTATTAAGGGCAATATAGTTTTTTTACTTCAGAAATGACTAAACACATAACAAAAATTTATAGTAAAAACAGTACAAGTTAAAAAAAGAACTTTTGGACCAAACGGTCAGATTACCTTAAAGTATGCAGACCCCAATCACATCACACTCAATAAACAAAAAAAATCCGAAAGAAATCTACTGAACAAAGAAAAAAAATTAATAAAATTAAATTAAATTAAATTAATTTATATCGCTTTCATTCATTTTCGTCTCTATTCAGACAGAACAAATATTAACAGCCAACCAAAAACGTTAGGTAAAAGAAGTTGAAATTAATTAAGGGAGAAAACCCACAGAGATAGAGCTAGCTATCATCATTTACAAACAGATGGCAAACATACCGGCGAAGATGATAAGCTCTTCTGAAGGTCCCAGAGCAATTCCGGTGATTGGATTGGGCACAGCAACAATGAAGTAAGGTGACAATGATATTGAGGTGAAGTCAGCGGTTATTGAAGCAATCAAAGTCGGTTATCGTCACTTTGACACCGCAACACTCTACCAAACTGAGAAACCTATTGGAGAAGCCATCACAGAAGCTCTGAGATTGGGTTTCATCAAGTCTCGTGATGAGCTTTTCATTACAACCAAGCTTTGGTGTAGTTCCACTGAGCGCCATCTTGTCATACCTGCCATGAAGGAGAGCCTTCGGTAAGAAAATTTCATACGACACACTCTTAATTATTTTCCCTATTTTCTTTATCTGCTTCTCTTTTTGTTTTGAGATTATAATTAGCTCCTTTAAACCACGTCACATGTGACCTGTCATCCTAATGAAGGTTCTTCCTGAAACGGTGAAACCTGTGACTACTGTTTGAGGGTTTTGGACCGAAATTGTAGTGTCATTTATGACTTGTATCTTCAACCTTTCCTAAAAGTTATTACTTAATACTAATTTTCTGATATTTTAGTATCAAAATTATGTTTAGAGTAACTAGATTGTTCAAATTAAAGCAGTCTTTCCATGAACGTAATTGTCTTCTTTACATCGTAACAACCACTTTTAGACATACGATTCATCGGTTCAACGACTTTACATAATGATTAATTATATTAAAGTATCTTTGAAAATTAAAAGAAAATAACCAATAAAAGAATCGTGTGAGGTATTTTCATTAAAAAAAATTGTTGGTTTTACTTTTCTCGTTAAAATGAAACTTCTTAGAAGATAATTTAATTGAAAAAATAGCACATACTGGCAATTTGCATGGCATATGTGGTTGTCAATAAAAACTGAAAAGACGATTAAACTTTATATGATATTACTTAATTTTTTTTTACTATTTGATATTTATGTGATTTTAAAGGTTTTTCAATAAAATATTTTTTACAACTATTTTTCTAAAAATTTGTACTTTTTATTTAAATATATATAAGATAGTGTGTGCTTTCAAAATGTGCATGAAGGAGGTGAAATAAAGTTATATAAGGGAGGGGGTAGAAACTGGAAACCAATTAAAAACAAATTTTGTTGGTTAACAAAAGAACCTGGTTTGAATTGATGAAGTGGTAGAAAACAAGTTTTCCTCCGTAGCAAAAAGCTTTGTATTATTGAAGATGCTCTAAAGTAACACTAGATGAAAAACTAAAGGTAACAAACAGGCAAAACTACAATTTTCTGTCTTGAAATATAGTTTACGATATCAATATCAGATAAAGCTCCCTCTTTAAGTACATATGAAAATAAATATATAGGGTAAATTACACTAATCGTCCCTCGTGCATATGCCAGAAAGCGTGTTTAGTCCCTATTTTCAAAAATTAACTCGGACCGTCCCTCGTTTGCTTAAAATTTGCGTGCTTCGTCCCTTCGTACATAAAAAGACTATTTTGCCCGTAATAATTTCTTTTTCAATTTTCTTTTAATTTTTTATAAATTTTAAATTTAAAGAAAATAATAAATAAATAAATATCTCCACTTGATCGGACCTCCCCCTTCCCTTTCCTCATTTTCCTTTCGTCCCCCCAAACTCACCTGAAACAAAAATGGAAGACTGCCTCTCTCTACTCTGCTTCCGTCTCTCACTACTTCTCCGAAGATAAAACCTTATTACGACTCTACAACTCTAGATCCATCGACATCGTTGTGGAAAATAACTATGTTGTCTCTCCTGTCTTTGTATCTGTAAATTGGATTCTAACGAGAGACGTTGATAACGATGAAGTCGCCTTCAACGATTACACTGTCGACCGGAAACCTGCAACTCTAAATTTTCCATCACCTTAGTGTTGATTTCCGATAGGGGATCCCGAGGGGTTGTGTGTCGATATCAGTTGATTTTCCGAAGTATGTGAGGGGTTGTGTGTCGATTTCTGGTGGGGGTTTGATTTCTCTTAAGACCACCACAGTAAACCCAACTTCAAACTCTGATTTAGGGGTTGTGTTTCTTCTGATTATATTTGAGCAAAATGATTTTGGGTTTTGGATTTAATCAAACTAATTTTGCCCTAATTCTGTGTAGATTTAGGTTTGTGGTTTCTCTAAGATTGTTACATCAGATTATTGTTTTAATTTTGTTTGCTGGTGGTAGTTGATAGCAATGGAGGTGGCAGATGTGGTGTTTGAGGGTGGAGGTGGATTTTTCCAGTAGTGATGATGGAGCAGTGACAGATGGTGTTCGAATGGGTTTTTTTTTTGGTTTGTTGGTGTTTGTACAGGAGGGTGGCAGTGATGGTCTTAAGCTTTGAACAGGTGGTATAATGAGGAGGTGAAAGGTGGCTTGATGGAAAGCTCCACATGTGAGGTTCAACACCCTTGCCTTAAGTCGCTTGGCTTCTTAGCCCGACCACATTCTAGCAAAAGCTTCGCTTGCAAGGTTCAACACCCTTGCCTTAAGTCGTTTGGCTTCTCAGTCCGACTCTATTATAGCGGCAAGCTCTGCATGCAAGGTTCATCACCCTTGCCTTGAGTCGTTTGGCTTCTCAGCCAGACTCCATATTAGCGGCAACCTCGGCATGCGAGGTTTAATATCCTTGCCTTGAGTCGCCTGGCTTCTCAGGCCGACTCCATTATAGAGGAAAGCTCCACATGTGAGGTTCAGTACCCTTTCCTTGAGTCGTCTGGCTTCTCAGTCCGACTCCATTAGAGCGGCAAGCTCTACATGTGAGGTTCAACACCCTTGCCTTGAGTCGCATGGCTTCTCAGTTCGACTCCATTATAGTGGCAAGCTCCGCCTGCAAGGTTCAGTACCCTCGCCTTGAGTCGTTTAGTTTTCTTAGCCGAATCCATCAGCGACATGCGCCGCCATCAAGATTCAAAGGCTCACAACCTTTGCGTATATTATTCCCCACAATGCTCTCCCGCATGATGTACCTACGATCATTGGCTGCTAAGCCCGATCTATTCCACACGATGCTCTCCCGTGTGACATCTCCGTGATCGCTAACTGCCAAGCCCAAGCTATTCTTCTCAGCCGTGCAACATAAGTCGTGCATTGTGGCGCACCATACGTCGCTCATCATAAGCGTATACCATGCCTAGCACCGCACTTTTGGTGTCTCTTCTCCCACAATAATCATGGTTCTCTTGTGCTCGGACGATCGATAAAGCATTTTCCACATTACATCCGGCTGTATTGAGGTTACTCTCCAGCAAAACGCAATCACAACAGCAGCCCTGCTACCTGCAACCCTTCAGCACCTCCGTTGCCCGGCCCTCGGCGACGGCCTTGCTGCGTATTCCCTACCTATAGCCTCACCGCGTATCCCTCGACATCTATACTGCATGGATCTGAGAAACGGTCTTGCTGCACAACCTCTACCCATAGCCTCGCCGCGTATCCCTCAACATCTATGTTGCATAGCTCTCGGAAATAGTCTCGCTGCGTAACCCATACCTATAGCCTTGCTACGTATCCCTCAGCATCTCTGTTGCCTGGCTCTCGGCAATAGTCTCGATGTGAATCTCCTACCTATAACCCATGCCACTTATATTACGGTCAACAACCTTACGACTTATCGGTTTGACAACCTCCATCTCGGACAAGAGTTTTGCTACCTTTCTTTATGCCAAAAATTCCGTCGTATATTGATATAGCAACCTTGCCTTATTCATCATAGTCTGATCCAGCTACCTACGCTACCCACATGAGACTAGGGGGAATCCAGCTAGGTATAACACAAGCAGAAAACACCTTCAGGACGGTTATTAATGCTCACGCAAAGCAGACATTGTAGATGGTTATCAGTGACGTTCCATCTGCGCGTAACTACAACAACAACTGCATCAGATAACAGTCTCAGGGACTGAATGGCGAGCTTATTCCTCTTAGCTACCTTGGCCCGATGCCTTATCGACATCATTGTCGCATAGCAGCCCTGCTCTGCATAACATTTGATGGGTTTTGAGCATTCTAACACTTCCTAAGTGTACATGCAACCCTAATAACCTTGGATCTATGTTTGTCTAATAATCATGGAAAGTTGAATTCCAAGGTTATATTCCTATCTAGCATACATGGGGAACATTTTTAACTTGAATGAAAGATAGAATAACTTACCTTGTTGTTGATTATGATCCTTGAAACCTTATGAGCCTAGCACCCCAAGTGTGATGCCTCAAATGCTTCACACAACACCAAATGCAAAGGAGTAAACTTTGAGAGAATCTTACACTTGCAAAATCGGCTCTAGCCCTCTTGTTTCTTATTGTCGCCGACTTTGGTGGAGAACATGTTGCTTATATAGTGTGTCACATCTAGGGTTACACCATGTAAACCCTAATGTGGCATGACTCTCATTTCCATGACCCATGGGTTTGTAACTCCCATGGAGCCTCCATGGAGCATTCAATGGGTTTAACCCAACTTGATTATCCATGGAGCCTTTTAGCCCACTATACAAGATATGGAAGATTTACATAATCTACCCATATATTTAATTAGTTATTTGATCACTTAATTAATTCTAAATTAATTCTTGATCAAACTAATTAAATAATATTATTAATATATTAGAACTTATAATATATTAATAAACCATAACTGTTATTTCTCTCATTTTAATTTATCCAATTGCATGGTGCCATGCAACCCAAATGGACCATGCCGGGTCGGGTCAAGTACATACCAGAAATAGTAATGGACTTATACACCTTATCCAACAGTCTCCCACTTGGATAAGTCTAATAACTATAACTGCAATACTTCAGGAACCGATCGGCAATCGTAGCTCTTTCAAGGTCTCTCGGAACTGAAAAGATGATGATACGCCATTTAAGATAAGTGATCATATAATCCTCTGTTCTAGATATCAGCCGGACAAATACATGGAACAATGTCTTAGTTATTGTCCAGCAGTTTGTTTCCCGATTTCCGATTTGTTTGACAAAGAACTTAATTGAACACATCAACTTAGTTCTGACCGGGCCCGGTACATAGGTCAAAACAAAATCATCGAGGGGCCCAGATATCAGCTTCTAATCCAAGAAGGAACAGATAAACTTCGACTCATATGTTTGTTCTACCACTCATTGAATTATACACAAAAGCACGTTTTATAACATCGAGTTACCAATGTGTTAACGTACAATCAATGCATAACCAACTCATAAGTAACAAATCATATATCTAGGTTTGAAGACTTATATGATATTACCGTCTCACGATCACTCGAGATAAATTCCATGAAGTGATTCCAGTGAGCGTGGGTTGAGTC